TTTGGGGAAAATATTTTTTTTGCCTGTAGCTATAGGCTGGCAAAAATAATCCCGTTTGAATTCTATTCTCGATTTAGGCATATTTCTCACGACAATAATTGAATCCCGAAACTAACAAAAATGGTTAAATGTTATGATAAAATAATGTTCAAATTAATAATTCAGTGATCGATTGATCCCAAAATATATGAATATGACTGTTATTCATCTTCGTAAAAGTAAAAAATGTACTCAAAATAATCACTTTGTCATTTTTTGTTTTTTTGCTTTTTTGACGGAAATTTACGTTTTTAAAATTATGTAGTGGCAATCTCATACTATGTAACATATTACGGAGTATGTAGTATTTCGTACTTTAAATATCACTCTCTTATGTTACGTCCTGTGTGATGTAACATTTGAGTGGTTAGAATTCAACATCATTAACACAAATCCTCTGGTGTGAGATCAATTAATTTCCCATCAATAATTGAAAAAAAAAAGTCTAGAAAGGTAATAAAAAGAAAACAGGGGTTTTACATCCTCTATATATAGTTAGTTAGTTACGAGAAAAAAAATGCATTTTATCAATGGAAGCATGATATTTAAAAGGTAAGGATACAATTTGACCAACGCACGTCGTTATAATGGCAAGTACAGAAAGGATTGTTCCAACAAGGTTGAGTTGAAGATCCGTAATGGAAGCTATGCCAACACCAATAAGAAGAACAAGGAGAGATAATTTCACATGCCGACTGAAAAATAATAAAATTAATATACAGTCACAAATAAATAATTATACTTTGATAAAAGAAATTAACCCCTTAATATGTTACCTAAATTGTTTCTTCAAGAAAATTGTTTCTAGCAACACAGTGAAAGGTATGATTGCCAGTTTTGTCATCTGCACAAGGGAAACAGAAATAGAAGCAGACAATTAAATAAAAAAAAAGGTGATAGAAATTAGTGAGACATACGAGTAGGATGCATTATTTTATCAATAATTAGATTTTTTAAATAAAATAAATAAAGGGAAATTTTTAGAAATAGAGTAAAATTTTGGAAATTCCAAAACAGGACAACAGCGATTTTCCCTATATCGAAGTATTATATATATATGAAAAATTATTGCCATACTTTCACATTACTAAACTTTAAAAAATATATGGCTATAAGTACGTGACAATATCTTAAAAACTTTGCAATATTTACTACTACGGGTGCTAGTATGTAGTAGAATAAAAAACATACATAACATTCATATTTGAAACTCCAATTTAAAACCATTTCTTTAATTTTAAAGTACCTGATAGAAGCCAATGGAATTAAAGCCAAGGCTCAAGTTAAGAAAGCCAATAGAAATGCCATTCAAAATGCCAAAGAGCATCACCGTCTTCATGTCTATTGGTTTGTTCTCAAAGAAATTCAACCTTAGTGCGACGTGGAGGGTGCAATATGTCACCATCAAATGCCAACTCGTCAATGTTGTTGCTAAACACAAAATAATGAATAATTATTGTTTTAAATAAAGTGTTATTACATATTATCCTCACTTCTTTAACTTTTGCAACAGTTTGACTTTCACGTTTGTCAACGCACAACTTTGACTATAATTATATTTAATTATGTATAATTATGTATTAGTAAATATTATAAAAAGTTGATATTTTTTTGTCGTTAAAAAGTTGATATTTTGGAAATTCACAATGATAGGAATTCAATAACATTTTATATGTAATAATTTGATTATGTATATTAGTAGAAAATCGTGGTCAAAGTAAGGTCTGCGAATAGTGCAAAAATCACAATCTTGCAAGAATTAAAGAACGAAGGAAGTATTACTAATATCATGTATATCAACATAATCATTATAGACTAGAAAAAAATTACGATTGACATGAATTTGTCAATGATTTTGTATCAAATAGTTTGTTCTAAAATGTTATTTGCACGGATTTGACATATCCCTATCAAATTTGTAAGGTATTAGAGATTGTATAACCGAATTTTTTTTGGGTCCGTTTCTGAAGAGCCGCGAGTTTCCGTACAGTTTTGGGCCGTACAGTTATAGGCCGCGCGTCCTAGTTGCTTTGGGATTAGGTTTCACTCTCTATAAATACAAGCGCTCTCTTGTAATCAGAAGATCCAAAAATAATAGCAATTCTCGACTTGGTAGCGCCCCAGACGTAGTTCTTTGTGGCGAACTAGATTACCAAATTTTGTGTGTTCTTTCTTATTGTTCTTCGTATTGCGTAAATTAAATCCTAACAAAATTCTCTATTAATTTTGACAAATTCCTATAAAGTATCTTTGTCAATCTTGTGCTTTTTGTAGTAATAATAGAATCAACATAATCAGAGTAATACAATTACGTTCATAATCACTTGATTTTATATACATGGGAAAACTGTCAAATAAGTCCTCCTACTATATCAAAAAAGTCAATTAGGTCCTAGTACTATAAAAATACTCAGTTAAGTCCTCAAACTCTTCAAAAAAGTTCAATTTTGCTATTTTAGAGGTCACCCACAGGTTGTCCGGTAACCTGCAAATGTGGCGACCTAGGTGGCAACCCATGTGGTATTTACTTATATTCCTTTACTTTTTTTTCTCTAGCCTTCTCTTTCCCATTCCCCTTTCCCCTCTCCCCGTTTCCTTCTTCCCCGTCTGTAGCAAAGTCCATTTTACACAACTTCTCCACAACTAGTTTTCCAGGTGGCTAGGAAAAAGCTCATACCCGACGATAACGACACTTTTGGATTCAGTCGATTCCACCGGCAAGATCTAACTAGTGAAGGCCCAACGTCAGCCCCCCCTCTCCGGCGGTAATAAAGGTCGAAGAGAATCCCCTCTCTGACAGCAACGACGCAAAAAAGAACCAGTCCGATTCCACTACCGAGTTCCATCCGCTGATCCGCCAATCGTTTGCACCGACGGAATCAGTTGACTCCACGGGTGAGATGGAATCAGTGACGGCCGAAGGACAATCCAACCGCCATCGGCGGAATTAACGGCCTAAGAAAACACTCCCTTCCAGCAGAAACGATGCATAAATAAAGAAATCGAACAGGGAGAAAGGTTCAGAGCAATAAGGAAGAAAGCGGACGACGAAGAAAGAAATAAGGAATGAAGGAAAAACAAAAAAAAAAAAAGAGAAAAACTTATTGGCCATGGGTTGACACGTGTGCAAGTTATCGGACTACCGGATGGTTACCTCTAAAATAGCAAAATCGAACTTATTTGTAAAGTTGGAGGGTTCAATTGAACGTTTTTAAAGTACGAGGATGTAATTGACTTTTTCGACATAGTAAGAGGACTTATTTGACAGTTTTCCCTATATACATTTATGAACTATTTCTTAAAAAAGATCAATCGCATTCGTTGAAAAAAAAAAAGATTAAACGCATGTTCACAACAATATGAAGATATTTATAATAATCATAATGCACTTACCGAATTTAAAACCAAGGTTACTCATCAAGGCTTTGTTGCAAATGACAATGGAAACGGATGATGCCACCGATAGGAACAATGCCCCAATTACCCCCAACTGGACGCTTGACTTCTCTCCCATTTTTTCTCTACTTTTTTTTCACATAATAGAACAACTATTTAAAATTAATAATAGATAAAATACTCAAGTATAACACATATACAGTACGAATGTACGATGCAATTGAGGAATTTAATTACCTATAGGAATAGACAGAGGAGCTTTGATGGAGGATTTACTCCGATAAAAGAGTGAAAAACTCTGTGAAAGGGATATTAGCTTCTTCAAATAGGCCTAAACATGAATCATGAGTGTAGTAAATAGGAATTATTTACCAGTGATAGTAAACCAATTCTAAATCAAGGGAATCTTATCAACCATTAGAGCCCTGAAGGTATAGGAGGGCAATTGAATTGAAGAAGATGATTGGGAATGGAGAGTATTGAAGAAACTCTTTTCCATTAATATATTTATATACTATATGCTTAGTTGGTGAAAAACATAAGCTTAAGATTATGATGTGGCCAGTTACTGTTTTTGCAAGCAATGCCATTATTGGTATTCATTAGTCATTGCTCATTCTTCAGATATTTATGATACGTAATTAGCAATAATTCACTCATTCCCATAATAATAATAGTTATATATTATGAATATGTCACATTCAGATGATCAAACAATTGGTGCAAATGAATTTAAATAATCATATTATAAACTGTTCAAAACAACCATTCACTTCATCTTAATCCACATATTTGTTGTATAGCCCTTTAGATGTCATATTTTATGCTTCAAAGTAGTTCCCATTTTGCATAGAGGGTGTTTTTAACTTTGTTATTTAAACAAATGTACACATTCAGGTTCCGGTTCCAATAAAAAATAGTTTTAAGATACAAAATGCAAACGTTGGAAGTCCACTTTTGCAAAGAAGAAAAACTTTAATTTGTTTTTGAAAATGCTCATCGATTTTAATGCATTTTTGACATATTTAGAGTCATTAATCCTCAATTCCATGCTCCAAATTTATTCCTATTTTTCATGGGAAGGATTATTTGTATTTGATCCTAAATCTACACATTCATATGTAAATTTTGGGTCAAACTGAAAATATTTACATGCAAATTAAGACTGAAAAGATATCTTACACCATTTAAATATCTCAAAAGTATACAGACTGAAATAACAAATGATAAAAAAAAATCAAATTTTTCCCTCACACCAAAAAATAGTGCACCAATTTGGTTGGAATAAAAAGGGCACTTCTTCAAACATCTAATGTGAAATACTATTCTTTTTTGTTTTCTGATCATTAACTACACAATACACTCCAAATTTGGTGGCTCACCTAAAAATTAGAAAATTTTCAAAGGTTACTACTGGTGATCTGTCTTAGAGTTGAAGACACAAAGGTAGAATGAACATTATTATCCTATATTTGACTTACTACCTGCAAGTCAGCCAAACACACCTATCTTTGATGAGTGCATAACTTTTGCTTCACTCCAGCAAATTCCAGTTCCTGTCATACTTCTAATTGAGCTACTTTCAAAATTATAATTACATCAAAGTTAGAATCTATGAACTCAGATGATACAGTGAAGAAAGTTCATAGTGAGTGAAATATGCAGGATTTGATTCAAATTACACATATATACTGCTTATATAAAAATCAATATCAAGCAAAATCTACAGAGAAATCAGGTTCTGCAGGCTTCTGCAGAGATGCAACAACAGCCCTAGAATTAGAATCAGAGTGTCTGTGATGAACCCTACGACCTGATGCCGCCAATTTCGCAGCACTAACAGCTAATCCTAAACTTACCGATCCCGAATTACTCGAATCCGCTTCCTCCTTCTCACAATCATCATCATCGACATCCTCCATGAACGCCCTGACCTTGGCCGCAGTCATCCGCTTCTTATGCCTCCGCCAGGCCGCCTGAATGAAAGTCGCCGCCCACATCCGCCACTGGTGAGAGTAGAATCGGAACTTGTGCCGGAGCTGCTTGCTGTGCAGCCTCCGGAACTGCGCGGCCACGAACTTCAAGTCGTCCGCGACGAGCGCGAACGCCTCCACCTCGGAGACGGCTCTGACGGTGCGGGTGGAGGACGGGAGGATGAGGCTGGGGTGCGGATCGATGGCCCAGGTCAGGAGCTCCTCGCCGCAGAAGTCGGCGGGGCCGATGGTGCAGGAGTTGAAGAAGCCGGTGCGGCCGCCGTTGGTGGTGTAGGAGTCGAGGTTGCCGCGGATGATGAAGAGCATCTCGTTGACGGGGTCGCCCTCCCGCATGAGGCAGGTGCCCTTGGTGCATAGGACGGGGTTCAGCCTCTCGCATATGGCGTCGATCATCCTTCCGTCCATTTCATCGAATAAAGGCACCTATGAATAAACACACCTTGAAAATTCAATAGTTTGTTTGAGTAGATTAACTAAGTGAGCTTCATAAAACTTCTGGTTTTTGAAAAACTGCGAATAATTTGAAGCATTCAGATGTACTATATTTGCTTTTTCAATCAAACACTGTAATATCTGCTTCTTCACATAGGCGAAACAGGTTTATGAAATAGATTCACACCCCGCTTACGTATATAAACTATTATTTAGACAAATACGTGATTAATAGAGATGGCTCTAGATGCATATAAAAAACTTTGTAAGGATGAAGGTTAATCTATACAAATTGTTAAGATTATTCAACCTCATGTAATTGTGTTCTCTGATATTGAGTTACAAAAGCTATAATAATTTTCTTAAGGTAAACATAAATGCGCTGACAATTCAAGTTCTTATGATATGTGGTAGGAAGTAGTTGGTAATAAGTAATAACTAAGTTGAACTTAGAACTAATACCTAGAAAGCTAGAAGAACCTAGTTTTGCTTCAAAAAATATAAATGGATACAATCTTATAAGGCTAAAGGGTCAAAATGTCAAATAGGTCCATGTATCGGTCGTGTAAGTTCAATTCAATTCCTAAACTAAAAAAGGTTCAATTCACACCCTGAACTGACAAAAAAGTTCAAATTTCATTATTTAAGGGTAAACAATTGCTCATTCTTTTTTAATTTTTTTATTGTTTCTGTTTTTATTTTCGATTTATTGCAATTTTGACACTTTAATAGTTAAGGGGTGCGAATTAGTCATGGACCCGGTTCGGGCCGCCCGGCCCGGAACCGGCCCGGTTCTCGGGTCCGGGTCCGGGTCCGGGTCCGGGTCGGGCCTAGGCCCGGTGGGGGGGGTGGGTCCGGGCTCGGGCCTTGTATTTGGCGAACCGGCCCGGCCGGGTCGGGCTCGGGTCCGGGCCGAATTAATTTTTTTTTTTTTTCATTTTTTGGGGTTACCCGGGTTGGGCTTGATGGTTAGGAGGGGTTTGGGGGGGTGAGGGGGTGGGGTTAGGAAAGCAAAAAAAATATGACCAAACCGGAGGCCCGGCCCAGCCCGGCCCGGACCGGACCCGGTGGCTACCCGGGCCGGTCCCGGGCCTTCCTTCCCAAAAAAAAACCCCGGCCGAACCCGAAACCGGAACCGGCCCGGGTCCATGACTAGTGCGAATTGGAACTTTTTTACCAGTTGTTTAACCTTAAAAATGAGATTTGAACTCTTTTTGTCGGTTCTAGGAGTGAATTGGGCCTTTTTCAAGTTCAGAACCTGAATTGAGCTTACAGGACCAATACAGAAGCCTATTTGACCTTTAGCCATCTTGTAAATATAGTAGTTTATCTATACATTTTACGGAATCTCATATGATTTTGAGTCCTTTTGAGTCATTGACTATTTGACTTACTTGCCCTCATCCTCATCCACCGTTTGTCATTGTTTATTTGAAATGACTCATTAAAAATTGTTGATGGTGAGGCCAAATTAACTCATATATAACTCTATAATGTAGTTGCTCCATAAAAATCATTCATCTGATCAGATTTATCTTTCCTCAAAGAAACTAATTATTTGATAAACAATTCAAGACTTAATATGTTGAGTTTTTTCCTAATTAATGTTAATTAATTAATTAATTACGAAAATAGGGCTGGGTTAAAAGTATTTACCAAAATACTGCTGGATTAACCACGGTCAGGGTAAGTCGCCAAACCGTTGGGCGACTTACCCTTAATTAAATTCAACATGGACAGCCACAGAAACAAATCGCTAAACAAACCCCCCTCGAGCTAAACTGCAGCGACCAACGACGAGTGACGACCAACCGTTGGGCGACTTACCCCTGACCGTGGTTAAGGGCCAGCAGTATATTGGTAAATACTTTTTTTCCAGCATTATTTTCGTAATTAATTAATTTATTAATTAACATTAATTCGAAAAAAACTCTAATATGTTAGGTTATTTGTTTATTTGATGTAAAAAAACATTGTACATTTCAAGATGGTACTTTGACCATATTGCTCGAGATATACTCATCATATACTCATCATATTAAGAACACTCCCTAGATTAAAGGAAAAAGTTTAAAAAACCAGTCTAGTTGGCAGTACAATTTTAATTGCTCCATTTCTCTTGTTAGTTAATCAATATGTTTTTCCACTTTAAAGAGAAATTGTAGGATAATGATTAGTGAATAGCTGGAGAGAGTAGATAAAGAAAATAAGCAAAGAAAAAGAACAGATAAGAGTATTTTTGTATGATATATTCCAAATTGATCATGATGTTTTCCAATTTATGGAAGTCAAAAAACCTTCAAACAGGGAATATACAGCTACTAATAAGAAGCGGTGTATTAAAAAGATATGCCTATGTTCTTTCAAAAACAAATATGCCTGTTTTCGTTTTAGACCACGACAGTATGTGTTTGGAATTCAAAATATTAAAGTTAGTTTGACAAAAGTGAGTTGATAAAGTGGGTGATTTTTCAGAAGTCCATTTAGTAAAGTAGAGTTGTTGAAATTTGCCTCAAATTTCAATTGGAAAAGTGAAAAGAACTCAAAGCTGTGTTTGCCAAAACCACTTTCATTTACATTCAGAATGTGCTTTCTCAATTCATTAAAAAACCAGCACAGTTTAGAAAGTGAAAAGCTGTTTTTCTAAGAGAGCCTTTGGCCTTTTGGAAACCGAATCCGAAACAGTACATAGTAAGTCCATTGAGTTGGTTTTCGAAACTTACCCGTCGAACAAGATCATAACACAAGTGGCGCTTAATGTCGCGTCGAAGATCCAGAGGAAGAGCTTTCAATAAAGCGTCCTCGTCAACTCCTCTAGTTGCAATCCATTTATACTGATCATACTTCCTTACAGACTGCCTTAACTCTAGAGGTAGCTGCCTATGCCGCATCCATCTTTCGGTATCTGTTCTCTTGGTTCTCCACTCTTCTAACCGGACCGTAGTTGATTGCAGAAATGTCTGCCAATCAGCAAATACATTTACGTTAGCCCCATCGTAAAAGTGACCGACAGGAACTAAACATGGAAAAATAAAAGTTCAGGACCACTAGTAGTAATGTCCTAATAGTGGTGAAGCCGCGGTGGGATTAATTCCATGAGAAATCAGATGCAATTTCATTAAGTTGTATTTATGATGTGAGCTTACTTGCATATTTCCAATAAGCAAGCCAAACAGAACAAGACCCAAGATTGCTACCATGATGGCAAACATTATTTCTCCAACATAAGTGCTTGTAGCAAGACTTTGCCCCAGAGAACTGCACATGGACACAAATAACATTATAAGAGCTTGGCTTGAACTAACTAGTCCAATTGATTGAACTGAGTTACTTGAATATGATCTGAAACCTTCTTATCCTTTGAGCAAAGTCATAACACAAGAATATGGGGAAGAGTTTTGTCTTATTACCTTAGGTTCTTCAAGCCCCACCAAAGACAGTAGAAATACTTGTTGAAAAACTTTGCAGATGTAACTGAGCTAGTGACAGCTTCCTCATAAATACCAAATGGGTAGTCACTTTCGGTATCAAGACTGCACTGTTGTGAAATATTGCTGGAAAGGAACCAGATATTCCTTTTCGGGTCTTTGGCCTTATTGCAGTCAAAATAGTTGTATTGACAAGCTAGCTTCTCAAGATTGCAGATATGGTGCCAGCATGCTTCCTGTCTCTCAATCGAAAGCAGATACCAGCAAGCTCCTAGTATCTACATTTAGTAAAATACATGAGAAAACTATATCGGTGTCAAGATGAGCATTCCAAGTTCTCGTTAAATAGAATTCTACAATTAATGATAGGTGTCATGTGTTAAGGCATCCACACCAGCCAAATAGAAACTATATTCCGTCTTTAGCTTAACTTTTTAGGATGAAACTTTGAGTCTAATATGGGCTTCACTGTTTCAAAGCCTTTAACCTCCATAGAGAATCATGATAAGTCTTAACAATGAGCACAAAAACTTTGATATTGATCGACTCCAACAACTCACCATATAAAAAAGTAAAAATATTAAAAATACAAGCACAGATTTAAGATGGATATTTTCACATAATTTTACCTAAATGAAGGAGGAAAGGCCAGTGTGGTCCATGTTAGCTCACCCTAATTTTGGGGCATCCCATGGCCTTGCATATTGGTTTGTAATTTATGTTTTATTGGTTTTAAGGTGACTTAACATATAGTCTAACAGATGCAAAAGTAGACAAGAACTGTTCCATTTTTCACTCACATGGCTAGCGAGCATATAAAGCATCAAGTTGTAAGCAGCTCCAGCCCAAGCCGTTTGAGTCACAAGACCCGTAGCCTTCACGATTTGAGATGACAATGGAAATATGAGATAAAGTCTGGGGAGGTACTGAAAGAGGATGCATGACCTAAGTATATTTTTTATGTTTGACTTTGTTGAGCCTCCAAAAGTAGGAATGACGGCCCATCTCAACACCTGAAATTATACTCCACCATAAGAAATTCTATCATTCTTCTGCATTTGCTAAAAACACTTGGGATACTTGGTAAGAGGTAATGGAGTCTCAAATAGTGTAAAGAATAAACGCGAGATGTAATTTACACTTAAATATTATGAGTATCTTCTAACATCAAACATAACTACGGTCAAAGAAACTAGTCCTTAATGCCAATCATACCTGAGGGAGTGGTATTGCAGCAATGGCATCAATCCAAAAACCGCCGCGCAGGTATCTTGAGGCTATCTTTGAAGAATCGATAACGAGCTCTCCTCTCCCAAATACTCGAGAAGATGGAGCCACATATGCGGTCCGAAACCGAACATAAATTTGAATCATGTAAAAGATATCGGCTATTGATCTTACAATGGTAAGGATAGCCTCAACCTTAAACTCTGAATCTATGCAGAAGTTGTCCCTGACAACCGGAAGGTAAAAGAAGAGAGGATCTACAAACAAAGACAACAAGCAAGCCACTAAGAAGACGTTGTTCCATATACGGATCGTTGGTCCACGAGGATCTAATATTTTCCTTTTCACTCTCTCATAGTCTTCTGAGAAAACTCGTGAGAGTACTTTAGCCTTTAACGAATTCCCGCTCTTTATAGAGGTTTGATCAGGAAATTGGGATCCATCAATCTTATACTTCACCTTAACCATAGCACCTCCATTGCTAGTTCCATATTTCGCCAATTCAAGATCATCTTGGAATCTGAGATAGTTACACAAACTGATGAAACAAGCACAAACACAAATAACAGGATATGTACTAAGAATAAAGAAGTAATTAACCAAACCTTACAGACTTGGAACTACTGAAATCCATGATTTACGAGAAACAATTCCCCGTTCCCCGTCTGGCTTCAATTATAAATAGGATCTACAGTAATACAGAAGAAAGATAAGAAAAAGGGGAAGCCTGTGAATGACAGCATAAGGATCACCAGAAATGACAGGTAGTTTGTTTCTACACCAACAATACAAAGGAGATCAGTCAGTTTTTTGCTTTAGCATATATCATGTGAAAAAGAAAAGGTTTTAACTCAACTTGTGGATAAAGTGATGAAGATTCCATGTATTTGTTGGTTTTCCTCTAAGATTAAAAAAAAACCAGAGTCAATGTTATTAAGATTTTGGGTTCCATCCTAAACACTATATACACCTTGACTTACCAAGATCATTGCTTTGAGATTTCTAGTTTAATAACTAGAAAATCTTGCTAACCTTGACTTAGCAAGATCAATGTATTTCCAGGTTCAAGAAAACTGAACTATGTAAATAAAGCCCCAATAAAGACTATTGAAAAAAGAGGCGTTACAATCACAAGATCAGGAAAAAAGGCACAAAAGCAGAGCATTTAAGAAAAGTTGAACACATGAATGCGAATAGTTACCAGTTACAACTAAAACATTTGTTGATCTTAAAAAGAGAAACAAATATGGGAGAGAGAAAGAGAGAGAGCTTACCAGCATTGTTCCAAGTATACCCAGCAATGGGAAATCACACAGAAAAGGTGGTTCATTCTTTTGGTGAGAATTTTAGGCTGAGATGGATAATATGTGATTTGTGAAATCCCTGACAGAGAAAAGGTTCGCCCAGATATTCAGGGAGTGATTATATAATGAAGATAGACAGGAAAGACTGCGCTGAATTCTGGGTTTCTGTTAATGATGTCTTGATGGAGATCCTTGACCTTCCTGTTCTGGCTCACTGCCAGTTGCCTCTCCCAAGTTTTATTTCTTATTTATTTTGTACTTCGTAGTATAAAGAAGGGCCAGTTATAAGTTACAAAAAGATTTTGCTTCTTGAGTAAGATTTCATTAATGCGTTTTATATGGCTTAAAAGTTTTTCTTATTTTGCTAAAAAGCTAAAAGTTGTGCTTTCAAACAAAAGTTCATGTTTAAATTAAACATTTTAAAGTTTTTTTTATTGTTTAAACATTTTGGTATGCCAGGCTTTTAAACTAGCTATCAACATTTATTATTAAAGACTTAATATATATTGATAAATAAATCATGGTTCCGAAGTAAAAACAAATATAAGCACTTTTTTTACAATACTTTCTAGCATATTATAGTATATATTACTCCGTATATGCTAAGCGTTAAGACCAACATCTTTTAACTATAATGGGATTTGAACATGTGACATCTTTTTTTGGAGTGTCACGATGATGAGTATAAAACCGAAGTGACATTATCAAATTAAAGTTTGATTTGATACTGAGGTTATGGTCATATAATCAAATTGATACACTTTAATGTAAACATTCTTTAATCACTCGTTTGAGGACTGCTCAGGTCCAGCCGGAGGGACGGGAGCATCCGTCCGAACTTCACTGTTTGGGGCGGTTTCCGGTGGAATTTTTTGATGAAATTTTTTGAGCATGTTCCTCATTAAGTCTAGTTTGTCCATGCCAAATTTCAGCTCAAAATTAGACCGGGAAGGCAGTCAAATAAATTCTTGAAGCTTACTGCACATTTTGCGCATATATAAAGTGCAGTAAGTTTCAAGAATTTATTTGACTGCCTTCCCGGTCGAATTTTGAGCTGAAATTTGGTATGGACAAACTAGACTTGATGAGGAACATGCTCCAAAATTTCATCAAAAAATTCCACCGGGAACTGCCCCAAATGGCGGAGTTCGGACGGTGGCTGGACGGGGGAGGGAGGGACCTGAGCATTTCTGTAACTCGTTTTATGAGTATAAAACCAGAGTGGCATTATCAAATTAAAGTTTGATTTGATACTGAGGTTATGGTCATATAATCAAATTGATACGAATTAATGGTTGGTTCAATTCATACATTATATTTACAACAATCTTTAGTGTACACAAAATTTGTGCACATTCGTATACATATGTACGTAATTGTGTGCGCACACAGATAATGCTACACGAGATGTCTGTGTGCATAGGCAACGACGCGGCATACACATTATCCATGTGCACAGACAATTATATACGAATGCGTATGAAATGTGGACAAATTTCGTATACAAATAGAGTTTTTGTCATTTTTAAGATCGATTTACTATATGACAAAAACAAATCCTATTTCTTCACATAGTATTTTAATCCCTTTTCACATATGTTAATATTTTTTGTTTGTAAATGTTAAATGATTACGACGGAGTAATATTAAATTAATAATTAATTAATTTAAATTCCAAGAATATATGTGATTATCTAACAATAATCTTCAAAAAACAATAACCTTGATTCTAAACTCCTCAAACATCATCACCAAAAAAACTCCTCGCACATCTCCCTCTCTCCCAACTCCCAACCGCCAACTTGACTGATTCACCGTCCATCTAAATAATTTAAGTTTAATTTCTTGAATATTACATAATATTAATTTTCTCTTACGATGATGATTTTTACGGCCTCAAGGAAACATAATCGAAACCAATCTCATATTTACCTTTATCTTCATCTTCATACTCATAGGCGGAGCTAGGGGGGCCATCCCTGGCCCTGGCCCAGCCCAAATTTTAAAAATGTTTGTATTTTAAGTGTAAAAAATTATGTGTAAAAAAAATTTCAAAAATATTCTTTGTACCGGCCCAGTGCGGCCCAATGCCTTAGCTCCGCCCCTGTTCATACTCTTCTTTTTTTAGATCAAATTATGAGCTTTCCTCTCATCTATCATCCATGGTTGCCCATTGTTCATCTTCTATCCATCGTCAATGGCAATTAAGGTACGTAAACACTTATGTAGTGTCTAATGTGGGTTAGCTCTTCTCTTATAGTTCAAGTAAGTGACCGATGGACATTGATTTAAATTATGGTGTACGTATAAGGATGTTTTTGTTTGGACTGTTATTTGCTGGTCTGGTCTGGTCTGGTCTGGTAAGGTCTTGTTTCTTTGTATTTTTATATATAACTATCTAAGTATGGTCTGGTCTGAACTGGTCTGGTCTGGTCTTGATAGGTCTGGTCTGGGACAAATTACAATCCAAGTAAAAACATCCTAAGTCGAGTGGCATGAGAAATATAAAGATGTGTGCAATGAGGTGAAAATGATCGTAACCGTGCACATTACACAGCCTTCTATTACTTAGCCCGTTTGGTAGCACGAAAATCGGTTGATTTGGTTGATTCTGCTGAAGTTTGTGAATATCTGCCTGAAGTGATTGCATTGACTGATTTTGCTGGTTTAAGAAAAAATTATTTTTAAAATATATTATATTAATAAAATAAATAAAAAATTATATGTGAAAATAGCTAAAATGGTCATCTACAGTAACTTCAGCCAATACAGCTAGAAAAGTAACTTCAACCTTACTTTTTTTTGCTTATTAAACAATTCAGCGCGCGAAAGCAAACGTTACGTGTTTGGTGAAAAAGTTGGCTGATAAGTCTGTTAAGCCGAAAAACAGTCTAATTCAAATGTTACGTTAGTATAATTATATTTCATCATAGTCTAATTCAAATGTCTCTATTTACTTTTTTCTTAAGGGAAATAACTTAATTAATATTGATTAAATCATTATTGACTAATAAAAGAATGATTCATGAACCAAAAGCGACATTCAGACTTAGAAGTGGTTATCCTAATAACTAAGGTATGAGCAATCGTGTTCGCAAAACGTCTAAATGACATAAGAAATGGGAATACTAGTAAATTCCTTGCAGCTCCAATATCATCCACCAAAAGACAGAGATGCTCCATCCCTTTTTAGTTTGAGAAAGGACCCGAATATTTACTTTTATAATCGACAGCTTTTTTTACGATTAATTTCGACAGTTGTTAATAACTTATCATCATGCAAATATGCAATTAGCCAATTATTGTATTGCAATAAGTGTGTTTTGACTTCCCAATTTCAACGGGTAACCATTATGTTTTGGAATTTTGTATAGCCTTAACCCGTAAGCCGGAACAATAACCTTCTTACGTTTCAAATTCCAACTGTAAAGCTAGTTAAGATAAAGCGTCAAAATGGATAACGGAAATAACAATAACAATAGTCATCCGGTAGGTAGAAACGTCACATATTACATGCGACTTTGAATCAAACATCAATCAATATCAATATATATATATATAAGAGGAACTTTTTAAGAGCATACAAAGCGCCACATAATCTTGCCATGTCATTATATATATTAATTATTTAGTTAATTTGTACCTTCTATTTTTTATTAGCTAGATTCTATTTTTGATTGCATATTGATATGGAAACAAAAATCCGTAGAAAGTATTATATTAAACAGGTTCTATTTTAGGCTAAGTTTATACTCCGACAGGTATTCTTAGCCAAAAATACAATACGTTTTAATTTCCATAACAATTAAATATTATAGTATACGTTTAGGCTTAGAATTATGTGTTAGAATTATACGTTTTAATTCCATTATAACAATTAAATGTTATCGTATACGTTTAGGCTTACAATTTAAAAAAATAGGCTCTATATTTAGACCATTTTACTTAATACATACTCCGTATTAAATTTCTATGAATATCCATCTTCATAAGATTATATTAAACGTTTAAAATCAGGTTCATAGCAATTATATTTACTCGAGATGCTTATGTAGAAGATCAATTTAACTATTTTTCATATAATCTTTTTCTGGCTTCACAAATGGAATATATTTTACATATTTTTTCATGATTCCACTCATTTAGCTCATCCAGTCATAATTTAATCAATTTGAGTAAAATAAGCTAATTAAATTTATTTTAGTATTATCAAATGGGCTCTATATTAGATTAAGTTTATTTTTCTTTTAAATCACATTACATATGATCCGAAAGAAATCAAATTTCAAATTAGCTAAATTACATCTGTCCGTGCATCGCACGGGCTTGAAAGCTAGTTGTTATTTAAAAGGGGAAAATAACTTTAAATAATACCAATTATCTTCCATGAATCAAGAATAATATGTACTTTAAAAATAACTTTAATAATACAAACTATTTGAATATATACCAAAAGTAATATATAGTACATTTTAACTAAACAACCAGACATTTAACTCATCAAAAAATAATATCAATATATCGAATAAGTGACCATATTTCAAAATATCATTTATTTGAAGGTTTAATATTAGTTTTTGATGTTTTAAAAGGTTGCATTTCTTGAATAAAAGTGACTCCATTTTATTATTGTTCTACATTCAAATAGTTGGTATTACTAAAAGTTATTTCTAAAGTATGTATTATTCTTGATTCATGGAAGATAGTTGGTATTATTTAAAGTTGTTTTTCCATTTAAAATGAGGTTTTCCAAATTATCAAATTTGTTCTTGGAGAGGGTTTGAGCATATAAATCAGATTTGATGTTTTTTTATATTAGAGACTAATGTGCATAACATGAGACGATTTGGTTAATTAAACTTTTAAAAAGAAAAGAGAATAAGTAGGAATAGACTCGGTCATGGAAGTTAACCGGACCGTGATGGTTGTGTTTTGCTTGAAAGCAGAATTTCTTATCTAGTTTCAACTGGAAGTGAAGGTAACGTACCGATTCGAATCAATTCAGATCACTCCAATATAGGTCAAGGCAAAACAAACCGGTCGCAACTCGCAATCCGACATGGGAAGTGGTCTAGAGTGGGGCGAGTTAACCAGATTCAATCTGGTTTTTCATATATATCCTAAGCTAATATCCCAATTATATTTTTTAAGTACTACATTTAGATCCACAACTAGCCTATACTACCTGATTCTTAGGATGTTTTTAATTGAACGGATATTTTTTATTTGATCTCATCTGTTTCAGTTTGGCTGATATTCTAGTAGATATCTTATCTATGTACTCC